TACGTGACAATTGCTGGTTTCCATGTCAACTTATGTACATGACAATTGCTGGTTTCCATGTCAACTTATGTACGTAACAATTGCTGGTTTCCAGTTTAACTTATGTACGTGACAATTGCTGGTTTCCATGTCAACTTATGTACATGTACGTGACAATTGCTGGTTTCCATGTCAACTTATATATGTGACAATTGCTGGTTTCCATGTCAACTTATGTACGTGACAATTGCTGGTTTCCATGTCAACTTATGTACGTGACAATTGCTGGTTTCCATGTCAACTTATGTACGTGACAATTGCTGGTTTCCAGTTTAACTTATGTACGTGACAATTGCTGGTTTCCATTTCAACTTATGTATGTGACAATTGCTGGTTTCCATGTCAACTTATGTACGGGGAACGTCATTCAGTTTCATTGTTAACGGCAGGTTACACTAGCGCACCGGAAGCATGTGTGCGAATAGAGGTCATAGCCATCGCATCGCGATTTTATAGTAGCTCACATACCGGACTCACACCCTGTTGAAAATTGTCTACCAGTTGTCAATTTTGTAGGGCAGCAGCGGTCCTACTATTTAACGCCCGGACACGCGCGGAGGCGAACAGGGGGGAATACCTAACGCGCGGGGCAGCGGCAGCAATCCTTGTACTGTATAATATTCGTTTATGCTCAAAATTTGAACCGGAATGGCGAATTCGAGCAGCTATCCACACTTTTTATGATCAACACCCGGGCATTCCGGCGAGTCGAGTCCGCCATGTTGTTCACTAATTTTGGTTAGCGTTTAACAATAGGACAATACCATTCGATCCATGGGGGTGACAGTCCTACGAATGTGCCGACATTGTCGAAGGACAAGGACAGGACAAGTTTGTGCAAGTGTGGCGAGACTCCCGTAGTTGTTTAGTAAGATTCATTTAAATTTCTGCTTCAGTCAAATCTCCACATCCATGTATTTTCATGGATAGATTGTAAACAATCTGCCAAGCAAGCAATGTTGTTATGCCTTTATTTGACTTGCATGCTTTCAAACACAATGTACGTTATTTAGAGATATATGCATATGCATACCTGATGTCAATGAAATGAACACACCTAACAAAGATATTTACAACATTTTTAGCTCCTGTGAAACGGAGCTTATGTAGTACCGGTGTCTGTTACTCTGTGACTAAAATTTGTTCCACTGATAACTCAAGATCTACAATTTCAATTCAAATGAAATTTGGCACACAGCTAATATATGATGAGTAGATGTGCTGATTAGATTTTGGTGCAATTTCATGCATATTAATTAGTCAATTATTGCATTAATTAATTTATAACTTAGAGTCTTTAAAGTTTCTTAGTTTCTTAACAAATATTTGACTAGGGTGAGTAGCCTAATTTGCATATTGCAATAACGTATTCTGTCGCAAAAAAAAAACTGGTAATATTCCATTGGAAGGTCTGCAAATTTGCGAATTTTAGTATATAATGATTTATTATATCATGATGGATGTTATTTGAGCAGATACAGCGACTAAAAACATCAAATGTATGCGAGTATGGAGAGTAGGCATGCGCAGTTACAAGAGTGATGCGTCCATTTCTTCAGTTTGACCATGGAGGTAAAAATGGTTTGACGAAAAAGCAGTACCCTTTATGATTTTCATGAACGCAAGTTCAATTTCACTTTGTGCGTCATATTCATCAATAGACAAAATCAAACGATTTTTTTTCAGTATCGTTCCAGACTTTGCAAGAAATTTATATAATAATCACAGTGATCACTACTATTGGGCTCAAAAATTATTAATGGTCATTCAAAATATAGTGGCCATGGCTGTCTGTTCAACCCAGTACTGACCTTCACCGCTATTGCGATGCCATGAGCAGAGAAAAGGAAAGCTGAATCCCTGTGTCTACACTTAATCCATGTATAAGGCAGACACCCGACAGCAACAGCAAGGAAGTTTGTCAGTTTTATTCAAGATATACATTTTCCATTTTACGCATTGGAGCTACACAACATGACTGAAAGCACTTCCAATGTGATCTAATTTGTAAACACTCTCTTTGCACACGACTCCCAGTGTCTTCTCCTTGAGCAGACAGTAATGTTTTACGTTTGTTTTCGCATGGTTTCCATGTTACTCAAATAAAACAAAGCAGTTGATTCCTATTTTACTTATTGTTTATTCTTGTTTGATATTTTTAAACAAAAATGCACTCATTAAACACATAGTAAATATGCGAGTTTTTTGTTTTTGCCGAACGAGGACAGGGAAGACAAAATGGCGGTAGTTTTGTGTAGGGTCGATCGCGATCTTCGGTTTGTATCAAAAGCACGTCTCACAAATAATTTTTTTTTTTTTCGAGCGATAATTTGATAGCAATTAAACAAATTTCAATCGTTGGCGTATGTAAGGGCTGGATCACTTGCTTTCAAGGGCTCAAAGTCCGGACGAACATTAAACTACGATGTTTTTATTTATCTGTTCTAGGTATGTTGTACAGACTTTTTAGTTGTACTATTTTGATGATTTAATTTCAAGAATCTGTCAAGGAAACTCGCTGTTGTTACTTTACATGTTCACATAATTTAGCAGTTTTTATTTGGCAGCGAAAATGGCGAAATTTGTCCATTGCGTCAGGAAGATCTATCCCGATTTGCTGCACTGAGATTAATTGCATTTTTCGATCATAGAGTGCCTCATTAGTGCCCTTTACAAGTATAGTGTCCTTGCATGTTTTTCAAAATGCCCATATCAAAATCATGTGTTTCCATATACAGTATGTCATAGATTCTCAGACATCTTGATCAATTTTATTGATGGATTGACCTACATGCAATTACATTCACTTATTAGGCAAAGCCTATACCTTTATAATACATGCTCTGATCACACGGGAGCTATTTACAGTTTAACTTTGATTATACATATCTGTGGTTGACTTAGGAAGTTGTTCCTGCTCACATTTGACCATATTTTGAATGATCGTAACTATAACAAGTTCTCTAGTATATTGCATAGAACATTTTACATATTATTACTGTTATACAGTAAAATGACTAATTGGGATTTAACATTTTAGGCATATTCAGTGGGTTTTAAATTCACGGTTTTATCAAATAGATAATGTGTTCTATTCTGAATTTACATAGTCACTGAGTTTTAATTTAGCACATTTTCCAATCAGCGAAATGAGCAAAATTAAAACCCAGTGTATAATTAACCCTTTTACAGTACTTATTGCAATGCCCTGATGTCTTAATACACTGTGTGGATGGGTTTCAATCTCTCTGCATGTAATAAACTCTGTTCTTAAGCATCTTTTTTGGGGGAATGGCCAAGGGGCTCGGAAGACGTGAGGTGTAGTATGTGAGGGTCTATTTGAGTCACGTACACAGTACATATTTCCTTTGGTTTGATAATACCATGCCATTTATTCAGTGTTATTTACTTACTGTAATACATGTTGTATTCTTGTTGTAGAACTGCTGTAACTTATCGTAGAGAAATGACCAAAATTGATGGTGAGATGTCTCACCTGTATGATCAACATCAGTTATTTGCAGTGAAAGTAGTTGAAGTGAGTGGTCAGCTCGACTATATGTGTTATCATAGTCATTGTTAGCATATGAGCACACCATTTCATATGGTGCAATATTTTCTCTGTATCATATATCTGTAATATAATCAAAGCTTTTCTTTGATACATGTTGGATAAAATGTTTTACTTCATGACCATGTTGCATATCATTCACAGTAGTAATGTTTCATGTGAAAGTTACTGCACTACTTGTTTCGCATAACTTCCCAATTTGTTGTTTTGAAATCGTCATTAGTTTCACCATACTGACTTTATGACACGCCGTCATATCAAATTAGAAACTGCAATCATTGACAAGAATTCATAGGAAAACACCAATGATTAGATCAGTATTAATTGCAAGATTTTTCAAAAATGGGAACATACACATACATCTACATCTACATCTACATCTTAGGATACATATGCAGGTCTATTTGTTCCATGATTATTTTCAAGATGGCAGAATTGTGACCATTTTTGTGCTAAAAATTCATCAAAATCGAGCATTACTGGCATTACGAAACAGGACATACAGACATTGGACATTATAGGACCTTGATACATGTCATTTTGTTTTTCTGATCAGCTTCAAACGATTGCCTAGTGGCCATTTTAATGTTTAAAATGCATCAAAATCAAAACACTTCTGCTGTTTGGAACCTGGAATGATTATACAATTGTTCAAACTTGGTATTTACATTGAACATTATCTGAAATGTTTGTCAGATCAGATTCAAAATAGTTGACATTTTGTATTAATCAAATCACATATGTTATCATGTGTTTGTTTCACAATGATTGGCTTTGATTTTAAAAACTAATGATCTAATATAACATGACTAATAATATCCGTTTTATTTCAGTTCAAAACAACTTTTATGGAAAAAATGAAAATAATCAATGTAGCAATAGAAAATCTGCTAAAGTCAAGTTTGGAGAAATCCTCATATAATGAGGGTACGAACGCTGGTCATCACACAACTTTGCCACCTAAACACAAAGTTCTTATTCCAAAAGATCTCAAAGAAGAGTAAGTCATTTTTGACTCCCATGTGCGAAGC